CGTAGGATCTAATGGGATGTGTCTCGTAATTTTGGCAATGTGAATGTTTTCAATTTAAATTTAACATTAAAAATATATATTTACGTAATTTTTAGCTACTGATAAAACTGTGCAAAAACTACACCTGAAGTTTCACATCTGACATAATACAAACCAATCGAATAATTCTATAAGTTCCTTAAAATTAGATAGATAGAATTATTCAAGAAAGAAATAACATAAAAAAATTATAGGTAGAATACATTTTACCCTGAACGTAACATTTTGAACATAATTATGTAATAGTGTAAAGTGAAATATTTGTAGACCTAAAAAAGCAATTGAATCCTTATTTTCTCAAGGAGTATTGATATAATTTCATTACGTAATCTTAAAAATAAGATTTCTCAGACATTCCTTTTTAAACGTCATCGAAGTAATAGTGCTAAATGACTATATTAATCCTTGTATTCGTAGCATGAAAACCACTGATACCGTATAATTATCCATTTGATTTTAAAATTGGTTTTTTTCTCAAAAAATATGTTTGCACTCTCATCTGCAAAATGACAACTTTTCTGAGTAGAGGTTTAAAGGTTCTACGAACGAATTTAGTAGGATAACTTTTTCGTGCTTAAACAGAAGAGCTGTAAATTGCACAAGTAAATAATTTGTTTCATGTAGTTATGTTATAAAAGGATCTCCATTTTTTCATCCATAGCTGCTACATCGATTCCCGCTACGTGTATGAGCTTCGGGAGCTCAACAGTTCAGCCACTCTGCAGGTACGATAACCAACCCCGTTCCATCCAGTGAGGAGTGAGACAAGGCTATACCATTTCCTCAAAATTATTTACAGCATTTAGGATGTCTATGAACCCTTAAATGGGATAGCTGCGGCATTAACATCAATGGTGTCCATTTCTCTCACCTAAGATTCGCGGACAATCTAGTGCTATTTGCAGAAAGTTTTGACGATCTCCAAAGAATGTTAGAATAACTTTATGATGCATCTTTGAAAGTTGGTCTGAGGATGAATATGCCCAAGCCCAAGACAAATATTATGGCGAACCTCTCCAATCCATCAAATAGCAATGTCACGGTGGGAAATAAGAGGCTGGAGAGAGTGATTAGTACGTCTATCTCGGATGTTCTATCCTTGGCAAATAAGGAGAAAAAAAGGAGATCTCAAAAACTAGATGACATTCTTAAAGCAGACAAGGTTCCATAGTCTGAAGACCCGATTGTTTAGTCAATGTGTTCTACCCACCTTGACGTATGGTGCCACCTTGACATGGATGCTCACGTAGGAGACTGTATACAGGTTGAGAGTTGCACAGAGGGCCAAGGAGTGCGCCATGCTATAAGAGGCATCAACCTGGTAAACCGAGTTCTGAACGTTGAGATCAGATTAAGACGAAAGTCCAGAATGTTGGAACTCGGATCATGGAACGCACGTACCCGTGGTAGATGGCACAAACTTCGGGCTGTACCCAGCAGTGGGTGAAATCAAAAAGTGATGATGATGTTATAAAAGCACTTTTGACATGTGATCACACGTGGCTTTATTATAATAAACTTGGTATACCAAGGATGCGTGTTTTGCAATAACAATTAACAAATCCCAGGCGCTAATGTTAATAATAACAATTTCGAACAAAATTGTTTTTCGCATGAACAATTTTATGTTACATTTCTATAGGTTAGATAGACATATATTCATAGGAATCTGCTGATTTTAGTACCATGAGGTAGAACTAAAAATGTTGTTTATAGAGAAATTCTTCAGTAGTTTATTTAAATATTTTTTTATTTTATGTTACCAAGTGTATCGTGTGTATAGTGTTGTGAGCCCCATAACAACTCATGCGCCTGGTAGTAAGCGACACGCCTTTCCATAGTAGTTCCAGTGCTACTCAAAGCTTTAGATCGCAAAGATCTGAGAGGAGTTGTCACTGAACACTAAGTTGACAACTCCCATGCTAACAGCATGCTTACCGTTCAAAACCGGAACGCAGTAATGCTCACATTACTGCTTGGCGGCAGAAATAAGTTATTTAGAAACACTTGTCGCGTAACTCTCTTAATGACTGCCTATATTGGAATACGCATCGTAAATCATTACAAGAGAAAATATTGTACATTACAATTTTACGAAGACACAATAGGTCACAGTATTATAATGAATGCTCAGTATCCCATTTACAAGAACAATTTTCCGGTTATTTTTGTCTGAAATCATTGTACTAGAAATGTAAAATTAAAATTAACGAAATCGAAAAGTTAAAAATTTGAAATGGTAAAATTATTTAATGTCAAGTAAAACAAATAGTTCGTCCGTATTCATCAAGCTACAAAAGTATCTGTCGCGAATCATGCGAGATGTCATTTGGTGAGTAAACAAACTCAATTTTACGCATTTTTTATATTGTAACACTGCTTTGCCTTTGCTAAATTGTTATTTTGGCACTATCGAGACAGAAGAAACACCAACAGCAATGGCGGCAACCGAGTGCACTTCAGTATAGTTCAAACTAAATATTGGCAGTGTAAGTGAATGTACACTAAGAGACAAACAACTAGTAAGTCCTCCTATGTACTGTTTAACATTACGACATGCACAGACACGGTGGAAAGACACCGAAGTAACGTTATTATTTAATACTGTAACAGTATTGTTATACGACTATAAATATGCAACGTAGGTACTGACTCGACCCGCAGTATACTTTCCTTATTGACGCTTACGATATGGGTGCTCATCGTTGGCATCTACCGGGTCGGTACTAGCTGGCGTGTATATTTGTACCGCAATTACTAGCTATCAATACGATTACTAGCTATCAAAGTGATCATTAGCTATCAAAGCACAATCCTGTTGGGTCACAGGTTGGACTGAAGAGGAGGCTCTAGGTCCAGCCGGGGCACCTACACAGCGTCTCTGACCATCAAAGAAAAAGTCGATTTAAAGGAAGTCATCAAAATAAAGCTAGGTTTAAGACTCGGTTTAGACAACATAATCAGAGATTTGGAAAAATATGTTGAGAGTCCAGATCCTTAATTCAAATTCTACATTGAAATGCAGAACCAAGCTGAAGAGACTCTTACATCTAAAGAAACTTTCCAAACACAATATAATACTGGTGATAGTTTAAATTTTAATGAATTTTGGGATTTGAAGCCAGAGTCTATATGTCGTTCTGCCGCAAAGAAATATTGATGATTAATTCTTATGGGCTCTTGAAAGTCTATACTTCACAGATTCTCCACACAACCACCACACGCCACACAACAAGAGGAAGATGTGAAACATTAAAATGACACTTCTGACATTCAACACAAATAGGGCAGATATCACATAAAATGGTCATGAATTGAGTACCCACCGGATCTTCCAAACAACTATGGACTGGCATAAGGAAGCCTTAGAAGTATATTGATAGAGAACAGATTTGGAGACTCTTCATGAGTATGGATAACGTACTAAAAGAACAACAAGAAGCAAATATCAACGAAATTGTGCTAGTCGATAGAATAACTGCTTCTCACATAACTCTTATCCACTATTTAACTCACCGCATGGACAGGCAGAAAGGTAAGAGAGGTCGCCTGATCTATGATGCCTCGTCTAAAGTAGTGGGGAATAAAAGTTTCAATGAGTGCTTTACAGCAAACCTATTGAAGGTTGGAAGACTTGACTTGCTTAATTTCAGAATTAGGAAAGTAAGGATTGAAGTAGACTTAGAGAAAGCATTCCTTCAAATTGGACTCCAAGAGAAAAGATAGGGAAGGAACTTGCTCCACAGAATAACTTTTGGCATAATATATAACTCATTTTTTCTCACTGCTACAATTAGATATCATATATCAAGCACAAATTAAAAATTTAAAGAAATTACTACTAAATGCCATGTCGATAATTTGGTTTTTGGTAACCGAAACAACCTACCAGGCTCAGAAAATCTGTCGTCAGACTAACAACACATTCAATCATATTTCAATGAACATGAGGATATGTAATAACCATTAGACGCTATTTTCGGCTGGAGAGGCTGAGGACTTCGACAGTCCAGGTGACAAGTGTGGGAGAAGAATTCAATGCTGCCGACTCGGTTGAAATGGCATTGACTACTCCGTAGTGCCTCTGCAAGAAGAGAGTGAACATTGTTGCAACCTGATTGATAGACTTATCATCGATATAAAGAAACTTCTGACTCAACACTTTCCACAAGAAGTAGTAGGTAAAGAAACTAACTTATCAAGAAATTTAGGCGTGGTCTTGGATTAAGATGGTGTTTTCAGGTCAAAAGGACGTATAACACGCACAAAATAAATTTTATTCATATAATTTAAAAATCCTAGCTTTACTTTCTAGTATTTAAGCTTTTGTTGTCTTTTTTACCTTACCTGTATATTATCAAAATAAAAACACTACCCCACACGCACAATCTGGCCATAAGATTTGAAATATCCTGTGCTTCTTCACAAAGATAGGGAGTTTGCCAAAAAAAATTATTCAAGAAACTCATGAAACCGAACTACCACTTTGGTTTCCTCGTCGTAGCATAATATGTAGAGTTATGAGCATTTTCACCTTGGTTCAGTGTCTTCCTATCCGCATACATGTATACCTATAAAGAAAATTTATTTTGGCATCCCTCAATATCTATATTGAGAATATTCTGAACCAGGTATGTTTTACAGTCTACTCTATATTCAATAACCTACAAAGTGGCGACAGTATCACTGTTATTGTTGGTACAATTTCTAAAGTACTTTAATTGAACTCCATATTCAGAAGACTCCATGAAATATGAATGGTGTTAGTGGCTGGGTGGCCTGATTGTCGTGGGTAGCCTGATTGTCTTGGGTGGTCTTAGTAAACTGGGCCGTCTTAGTAGTCTGAATTGTCAGTGATATAAGTAGTCTGAGTGGTACGACTGGCCTCGGTGATACAAGTGATTTTGTGGTCTATGTGGTCTATTCTGGACTCTGAATGATCTGAGTGCATTTAGTCATGTTTTATTCAATGAGTAAATAGTTAGTAATCTATACGTTATCTAGAACTAAACAAAAATAAAAACGTTGCCAAATGTTGAGAGAGGACACTGACTCCTGGGGGCCTAATATGAACTCTTATTTCCACGCAGTTTACGCCGTAAAGTTAACTTCCTTGTAATTTCGTATTATGAACTGGTAATACCAGCCAGTCAGCGGTCACGTGACACCAGGCTGTCTTCTGCCGAAAGTTTGGCTGGCAACATCGTATTACACGCGTTATTTTGAAATTTTATTCACGTTTGATCTGTCAAAAAATAACCGCAATAAACCATTCAGTTTACAGTGTCTTGGTGTAGCTTTTATTGAATTGTTTTGTGTATAATTGTATAATAATTATTATAATTTTCAGTTTATATATTTTTAGGAAATGATTTCATCATGTGCGATGAATACGAAATGTTTGAGTATCTCAAATATGGTGCTTCACACGATAATAATGTGGAAAAATCCAAAGAAGACAACTGCGAGATCGTAGTGATAAGTTTGAAATGGATGCACAACAATTTATGAAAAGATACCGGCTTAGCAAAGATATGGTCCACAATCTTTGCGATGAACTTGAACCGCACATGTTGAGACCTACAAAATCCACCGATTTATTGGTTGAGACTAAGGTTATTTTTCACTAAAGCCAAGTATAATTTCTTACAATTTAATTTATAGTCAAATATTCTGAAAATATTATTGACATGTTTTCAACAAACTATAAAGTAAAAATTTACTC